TTTTTTTTACACTATAGGTAATATACCTTTAAATCTGTTGTAATAATTTGTTCTGTAACAATGTTTTTTTAGATAAATTTTTATTATCTCTGCACTCTAATGAAAAACTTACCTATGCATGTCCATGTGAAATTATTAATTTACTGTAAAATAAAACTGTAGCACATCTTCCATTTTTTCAGATTATATTTTTATACTTGTATTGGCCATCATAATTATATTTTCTGATTTTTGTGGCCCTTTGTCCAAATTCAGCTATGCATCTATACCTATAATTTAAAATTATAGAGTATCTAAAATATTTAACATGAGCTTATCATTTTATAGAAAAACTAACTTTTCTCAGCTGCAAATTTGTAGATTTTTATTTCATATGATGTAGAAAAAAGTATTAGACTTTTGAGATTTATGGTTTATAAATCTCAAACTGCTAGCTTCTTATTCATCATTGACAGAGTTAAATAAATAAATAGCAACTACACATTTAATAAATCATCCGTATTAAAAGATTAATAGCATAGAAAAATAATTTTATGGAAAATATTAGTTTCGTCATTTGATGCAAAGATTTTGGCTCGAGAAATATTTGGACTGCATTGATACTTTTTTTGTTGTTGTTTTAATGTATATTTGTAAAATTTTTGATCTGAAACCCCATTAACTTGTCTAAATTCTTTTTATGCTTGAACTGAAAATTTTAGAATATGTATTGTAAATAAATATTAATTCAGATATAAATTAAATTTTAAAAAAAAATGTCAGTTTAATTTAACCTGTTTTATTTATAGGTCTTGTTTAAAGATGCATCTTCTACTATTCTATTTTATTTATTTTAGGAACTGGAAGTGGGTCTCTGACCCATGCATTAGCAAGAGCAGTTGCTCCAAATGGTTCAGTTTATACATTTGATTTTCATGAAAAAAGAGTTGAGCTTGCACAAAAAGAGTTTGATTCACATGGTTTCAGTTCTATAGTGAAAATTGAAATGAAAGATGTGTGTTCTAGTGGATTTGGACTGAAGAACATTGCAGATGCTGTGTTCTTGGATCTTCCAAATCCATGGGATGTTATTTCCCTTATCATCGATTCATTCAAATCATCTGGTAAATGGGAGACTATTATTCAATTATAATTCTATCAGTGTGCACTAATTAAATTTCTAAAATAAGTTTGATTTAGATATTTTTGTTATGTTCATTAACTTGTTCTTCTTACTACTTATTAGCATTTGGCAAGTGTGTTCTTTATTTATCTGTTTGTCTGTTTCCAGTATTCAGTTGCTTATTAGTCTTTTATTAAGGATTTTTTAATTGTTGAATTATTGACAAATGAAATTTTATATTTGGTATTAATTAAATGTAGACAAATAAATTTAAGAATGCGGAATTAAGGAATCTTTTATTTGTAAGTAGTATGAAGGATTGATTTGGTAATAATCATGCTTGTTATTTTATTTATAATTTTCACCTATACTAAAATTGTTTTTATGTTTATACATATCATTGAATAATGATTAAGTTGTATGTCATTGTATATTTTTGAGCAATTCCAAGATATATAAAAAAGCTATGTTTTATATCAAGTTTTTAAATTCATATCTTTTATAAACATTTATAGGCAGAAAGAACACAAGAATTTTTTTTAAATAAACAAATAAAATGCATCATATTCTTACTTTACTTTCATTCTGAAGCAAACTTTTAACAACCCTAATTATGATTATTCATCACATATGGTTATTTTTCAATGAATCTATCAATAAAATTGGCTAAGATGAAAATAGAATGTATTGAATTGGCAATAAATATTGACGAAGAATCTATTTTGTACTAGGTATTGTTCTTTTTTCTCAATTTTTGTTGCACAGCATAACATTTGAAAAAAAAAATTCTTTTTCTCAAGACCTCTCTTCACAAATTCTATTTCTTTCTTAAAACCAAATTTACAAATACTTGATTATTTGTATAAATTTTTACAATGAGGAAATACATTTTTGATATGATTATCAAATCTTCTCAAACCCTAGCATTTAAACTAAACTTAAGTCAATGAAAACTTCAATGAAATTAAATTTTTGTGCTAAACAAATTCTAATGTATATTTGTTTGTTTCTTAAAAATTATGTATAATCTAAGTAAACACTGATCCAATAAGTTGGTGTTAATTTTTCTTTCTTCACCGACACAGTTTGACCAACTTAAATAGAATGTGTAATGTTGTATATTGTTGCAGTTGCAGTTTTGCTCATTCTGACTTTTTGACAAATGCTCTTTGTCCTTTATTTATCTCTAATATGCAGTTTTCTTTGTAAACTAGTTATATACCAAATTTTACACTACCTATGTTTAAATTGTATTGCTCGAAACTTTTAAAAAAGGAAATAATCGTGAAAAACAATTTACTAAGTGTGTGGGTACTTTTTTTCTTCTTAAATATCTTAATACATATAATTTTTGTTTCTGTAGAATATTTATGTTTATTCAGTTTGAATTAGTCTTGTTAATTTAAATTTTTTTTTAGGTGGTAGAATTTGTACCTTTTCACCATGCATTGAGCAAGTCCAGCGTACTTGTGATGCTCTTCATAAATGTGGCTTTCAAGATATAGTTACTGTTGAATGCTTGCAAAGAACTTATGATGTGAAAAAAATTACCCAAACTATTCTTAATTTTAAAGTAAGTTTGTGAAATCATTAAAATTAAGAATATTTACTGTATTAAATTGAATATGTTTTATATAATAAGTTAAGTATTATTAGAAAAAGTTTTATTTATTATTCTTAATATTGTACTTAGTAGTATTTATAGAAATACTTTTAAGAATTTTTAGAAACACATTTGAAATATATTTGCTCCCACAATCCTATTTCATAGCTGCCAATAATTCCGATTAAGTTTTATTTGTTCCAATTTTTAAGTCTTGTTTCAAAAATAAGATTTTAGGTCCAAAATTCCGATTTTTCTGTATTTCAGTGCTTTTTTACTTTTTGTACTGCTTTTTTAAGAGCTTTACAGAGGATCACGTGTATGAAACTAGACGGGATACCAATACACGAAATCAAGCGAAAATGTCAACAGTTGAAACAAGTGCCTGTGAGATCCAACAACAACGCAAATTCTCTATTTTCTACTTAGTCGCAATGTAATAGTTGAGGACTGGAATGATGTGAAGTGAAGCAGTATATGCATTGGGCATTCTAATCAAGACTATTTACTTGGTGTGAGTTTCATGACTTGGTGCTCTTGGAGCTCACTCCAAATTGTTCTGAAATCGCCATTTAAAAACAGCCAAAAAAGTTTAATGCATTTTAATATCAAGAGAACAGTCATGGTATACCATCCTTATCTTTTTGTTATAAACAAACGATTTTAAGTTGAATTCAAAACATATTTTCAAATTTCATCTTTAAATTTTTTTCATCAGAATAAGTTTTGGTTTGAAATGTGCATTTACAAATTGATAATTTGATTAGTGCATTTTAAGCTAAACATCCATTATGAAAGTGTCTGAAAAGGCTATTTAATCGCTACCTTCAATTTTTTACATGCAGATATCTAGCTAAGAAGAACCTGATTGGTGAGTTTTTTGTAGGTAAATGTTTTCCACCCATCTGGTTCTCATTCCCATATGAAAAAATCACAGTGAGAATAGTCTTTTAGTGTTAAAATCTTGAATAGAATTTTATTATTCTTTAAGATTCTCTCAATTTTTCTGCTGTAGTTTGTGTTGCTGTAGGAATTATTTAAAATATCGATAAGAGAATTATTGTTAACTAAAGAATAATGACTTCTCATCGAAAATTTTAAAAAAAGTTGGCACTTAAAAAACTGATTACATTACAAAAATTGAAAAAATTCCTAGCTCGCTCCAAAAACTTTGAATCAGGGAACTCTTTCTCCCATGCTGTATTTGGTGTGATAGATCATAAAATTTTTTTTAAAAAATCAGACAATTCAAACTTTAGACTCAAAAGAATTTTGTTTACTTTTGAAATGGCTTTAAGGAGCTTTTGCATTTTGCAATAAATGTAATTGTTATATTGCAATGCTTGTTTATATTGCTTGTTTTAATGATGCCTTTATTTATAATTTTTTTTTTCATTGGGATTTTTGTAAGTTAACATGCATACTTAAGAAAATTTATGGTATGTATTTTAGAAATTTGTCTAATTCTCTGTTACTGAATTATTGATTTCCAAGCTGAAATAATTACAAATTTTCTTACAAACAAACAAACATTACTAACGGAAATAATTCAAAGTGTGTTTTTATTTATGCTTTTAAAAATTAAAAAGAAAAGAATTTCTAACTAGCATTTAATAATAGTAATTACTGATTCTCTAATTAATAATTAATTAGTTATTCTCTTATAAATAAGTTATAATTTTCTTTTTACAGTAACCTGGATAGTTCAATTAAAGTGTATTGGTTTTTATCATACTATGATGTCAAAAAAACTATTATTCATCTGGAAAAACATAAATCACATAAATATTAACTGTGATATTGTGGCAAAAAACGAGACTAATATGTGCGATTTGGTAATTATTTAGTCAAATGTGTAGGATAACATTATAAAATAATCATTTGCTTGAAAATGATCAATTGCTTGATTCTAAAATTACCTAAATGTATGATATATTTTTTATAAAAGAGATCCATCTATATTTCTGATAGAAATATCTTTTGGACATGCATCGTAATATTCACAACTCTTCCTCATGTTGTAACTGTGCAATCTTGGTTGTTGATTATGTAGTCCAAACCAGATGGACAAGAATTGCAACATATTAAGAAAAGGGTTAAGGCAGACGTGCCAACCCTCCGGCCTTTGGCCAGAGACTCCGTTTTTTTACAAGTTATTTTCTCCTCTGGGGTTTTCTCGAAAATCTCCAGTTTTTCACTTATTATTATGCTGAATGTAGTTCACATCAATTTCAGCCTCAATGCGTCAGAACTGGGCGTGGCCTGAGTTGTAACGTTGTTCATATGTCTTGGCCAATCAGGAGAGTTGTTTCTCCTTTCCTTTCTGAATCTACAACTGCTTCGTAAATACTGCTTAGTGATTGGCTTCTTTCGGAAGCAAGAACGTTCGCTGTATGCGCTGAAATTTTTTGATCCGGATCGTTTTCTTTGTACAGTGAAGTGACGTCAATATCAGCAACTTCCAATCTGAGTTTGTTTTTATGCTTGTTTCTGTCTTGTTTTAGTTTGTTTTTTGTGTGGAAATATATAATGGCAGCAAAATAAGTTAATACGAAATATTTATCTTCTTTCAACCAAGCTTATTCAGAAGAATTTACTGGAATTATTGCTTCTGAAAGAGGATTGAATTGTGCCTTCTGCACGTTTTAATTTTGAAATTTTGATCCTCGATCTAACATATTTTTTATTGAAAATGAAATTTCTAATTTTCCATTTAAAGAAGGGTATATATTTAGTTACCTAAACTTTTATTTATTATATTTTTTAAAAATTAGATAGTTTAGTTTTGGTATATAATTTTAATTATATGTTCAATAACTTTAATTATTCTTTATGTACTAAATAAAGTCTCCCTTAAGACTAAAGTGTTGTTATTTACAATTTTTTTAAAAACTTTTGTGTCTTATTTTGCATGTTTAACTGTTGCATGATCATTTCTCTCTTCCTTACGAAAGCCTCCTCTTTTTTCATTTTCCCAGGTTGGCACATCTGCTCTTTGCAATTAGATTTTCCTCTTTTTAAGTGAAATGGTAAAAATATTTAATTGAATTCATATTTTTCAGTGCACAATGGGACAGTGGTATCAAATATTTATATATATTTATAAAATACATATAGTACTTATAAAGTATTTATAAAATGTATGTATATTTTATATCTGGATTACTTAAGAATATTTTTCATCTGTAGTTACTCACATAAATTAGGTATATGTGTTAAAAAGTGTTAAATAATTTACAATAGGGATGTAAAGCATATTTGGCCATGATTGGGTATTTGCCCCTTTAGACGAATATTCACTTGGCTAGATATTCGTCAAAGTTTCACTTGGAAAATTATTTTTGACAAAGTTTTTTAAGGAAATTTTATTAGATTTAATGAAGAATAATTTAAAATCGTATTTTTNCATAACTCTAATTCTTAGTATTAATTCATTTAATATATATACCATTTAATATAAATAAAACATTTTATTAATAGCATTTATTAAAAACTTGTAATAATTTTTTCCCAAATTTCTTTATTTACTCTATTTTTTAAAAATACGAAAAAAATTGTAAATCCTAATTGACAATTCAATTAAATCATTAAAAATGAAATATATATTCGTTTTATGGATGGCGTTAACCCTTAACATCTTAACAATCTGAAAAATATTTTTAAAAAAACTCCATCCTGGTTTGCCAAAAGTTGTCTGGTCCAGCTTTGATGAGCCCTGTTAATTAATACAATTGGATCAGTACTTACATTAAAAAAATTGTGTATTATTTTTTTTATTTATTGATTTTCTTTTTTAAGACAGGTAAATAATTGGCACTGTAACTTGTGGTGCATATATATTCGATAATAAACAATCAATACTATTTTTAAAAATAGTCTTAAGGTCCTTAACTTTCCAAAAAAAGTGCTTAATTTTTTTTTTAAAGAGTCCTTAAACGTCCTTAATTTTTGCTTTGTTAAAAGAGTGGGAACCCTGTAAGATGAGTCCCAAATTGTAGACATGTTGCATGGCAGTCATTAGGGTAACTGGTTTTTTTGGTTAATTTAAAGGTGTAAGATTTAAGGTGGCTGTTTATGTATATAGATGTGGCTTAAAAGGGCTAACAACAATCTTCCATCACAACTTCTAAAGTTATATGTTTCTTTACATGTTGCCACAAATGATGGCTATAGCTATTCAAATTTTGACAATATGTAGATAGGCAAATGGTGGGTGGCAACAGCTATTCGATTTTTGCAAATATGTAGGTATGCAAATGACGCCTTAAGAGTGTATACTGTCTTAAAGAAGAAAAAAAGTCTTTTTTAGTTGATATGTTAATTACTTATTTTTAAAAACTAATTCCCATTCCTTTATATCAAATTCGTTGGAGAAATTTCATCTTAAGTAGTTTGCTTAAAGATCCTTGAAAATCATTGACTTTAGAATAAAGATCACGAAAATTTTCCTAACTGGTACACATCTTGGTCCTGCACTTTTTAATTTATAAAAACAGAAACAGCATTAGCACAAAGTGTATTAATGGCATTTATTTGCTAATTATTCAGTAATACATAAAAAAAGTTGTAAAATTCCACATAACCTGTCAATTTTTTTTTTATTTGTTTGGGAAAAGAAAAAAAATGTGATGAGCAAATGGCAGTTCTAGCCGTTGAGAGTTTTCATGAAAAACTTTTATATTATTTTCTTTCATGCTTACAACTGATGCTCAATTTCATATAGCAGTCATATACTATTATAAATGAAAATCTGTTTAATTAAAAGCGTTTAATAAAAACATGTTCTTATGACAAAATTATGTTTTCATAGTACTTTTTATTCCTTTGTAGCATTCAAAAAAGGATCCTTCATTAACTGATGACAATCCTCAAGAACAGAAAATTCGCAAAGAGGACCCAGTATCAGAAAAATCTGATGTTAATAAGGATGAACCTAGTGATTGTGAAACTGTTACTCACTGGTCAGCCGTGCCACCGCTTGAAACTGCTGGTCATACTGGTTACCTTACCTATGCTTCATATATTAAATTAGATTGATGTAACTTCATAAAAATCTATTTATTGTTTGTTACAATGTAACATAAACCAAAAGCCATGTTGTAAATACACATATTTTATTGAGTAATGGTCTCCTTTTAATTATTTTTTTAAGTTTTATTGTATTATATCTTTTCTTAAGATCTGTTTTTAATTTTAATTATTTTAGAAGTTTTTACTATGGTAAAAACTCTAATGAAATCTGATTTTGAAATTTAATCAGAGATTACAAGAATGCATTTAAATTTGTCAGTGTTATACTTTTTTTAAATTTGAAATTGCAATTACTAAATTTATGGCTTTTTTTCTAATATTTTTTTTAATAATATGAATTTTATTATTGTGGGTCTGATCAAATAATCTGGTCACATAAAAATCTAATATTAATATTTAAAAGTACTTGAATACTGAATAAAAATTTTTGAGTTACAGTGCAAGGTGCTTCATCTTGAATTTGATTAACCGCAACAATTGAATAGCTTAAGTTTTTGGAATACGTTAAAATAAAGTGAAAATTGATGCATTACAATGCGAGATGGAATGAATAGATGAAAACTGGAGTTGCAGTTTAACATTGCGATTCCAGTTTCATTGATCATTTTTGGCAAATAGCAGTATTCAACAAAATCTTGAACTGTTGTAAGAAATTCCATTGCTAGTTACTTATAATTCAATTCATAATAATGAAATATCTCCCTGAAGTATGATATGTCTTACATGGATAATTGCAATATCTACTTGTAAGTTATCTGGCTTCATTGAACTGTTGTAAAAAGTTGTTGCAATGCATAATTGAATCATACAGTAAAGAAGTCACAATAANGTGTGATCTGTTTTTAACCTAGCAAAATTATATATTACCCCTAAAATTTACCTAAAAGTTTTTGAAAAAAGTTCCTAAAATTACCATAAAATTTTAAAAAACTTAGCTGCTACTAAAAGTACTTGAATACTGAATAAAAATTTTTGAGTTACAGTGCAAGGTGCTTCATCTTGAATTTGATTAACCGCAACAATTGAATAGCTTAAGTTTTTGGAATTCGTTAAAATAAAGTGAAAATTGATGCATTACAATGCGAGATGGAATGAATAGATGAAAACTGGAGTTGCAGTTTAACATTGCGATTCCAGTTTCATTGATCATTTTTGGCAAATAGCAGTATTCAACAAAATCTTGAACTGTTGTAAGAATTTCCATTGCTAGTTACTTATAATTCAATTCATAATAATGAAATATCTCCCTGAAGTATGATATGTCTTACATGGATAATTGCAATATCTACTTGTAAGTTATCTGGCTTCATTGAACTGTTGTAAAAAGTTGTTGCAATGCATAATTGAATCATACAGTAAAGAAGTCACAATAATGCAATCAATCATTAATCAAAAGTCATAAAGAATTTTTTTTTCCATCTTACTAATAACATCATAAAGCAATAAGAAAGGGGGAGAAAACTGGATTTATTGAGCAATTTATTTTACATATCATGCTTTTTGTATGTAGAGACTTCAATATTTTTATGTCTGCTTCCTAACGAAAATTTCTGAAACAATAATTGGTTAATAATGATCAGTGAAGAATTTTTTAAATTGCTAGTTGTCAATATCATGCACTGAGCGAACGTAACTCAAAGTTTTAGATACTATGGCAGGGCTGATTGCGCTACGGAAAAAATCCGGATTTCCGGATTTATCGCTAACAGTGATCCAGAAGTTACTGGAGATCGAAAGTCCAGACGTTTAAAAAAATCAATGATCACAGAAGTTTCCGGAAATAAAATTTTCAAAGGCGGAACTTAAAAACACAGTTTATTTTATTTGTTTGTAGGCGAGAGGCAGAGAGATACTTTATAAGCTTATATTCATGATTAATATTCATTTTTTATCAGTAAATAGTTATTATACTCATAAACTCAAGAAAAAAAGACATATTTGTAAATTTTAATTACTTCTCCTGGTCCTCAGAGGTATGTGTAATATTAAATATATTTTAAGTAAACTACGGTATATTGAGAAAAGGGAAGAAAAAAAAACATTGTTTAAATTTTTTTCAATTTAAACTGTTTTTTTTTTAAATTTTTTAAACTCAAGAAATGTTCCGGAATTTTGACTTGGGCTCACAATCACCCCTGCTATGGTAAAAAGTGTGATCATTTTGTTAAAATCAGAGCAAAACCTTTCTGCCAACCATCAAAACTGTTCTTGTAGCAGTTTAATTTGAGCTATTTTAAAAGAATAAAAAGAAAGAAAGAACAATAAATCATTGTTTAAAACTAACAATTTCTTAATTAAATGGGGATCTTTGCGTTAAAAATATTTTGTTTTAACATTTTCATCCTTAACTGTCAAGATGTGACTTATAATTCTTTTTGGAAACACTTTTATTAGTCTGACAATCACTGTGGGAAAGTGTGCCTTTCTGGTGAAAAAACCATGAGTGTGATATTACTTGATTAAAAAACTTCATTTGCTACAAAAATATGCAGATTGGAAATAATAGTCAGTCTGTTTCAAACACTCAAAAATAAGCTCCCATTTTCAAGATGTGCCAGATGTAAATGAGAAGAAACAAAAGTTATTTGAAATATAAAGCATAACGTTGCCAGTGAAAAATGTATAGTAAAGGTGAGAAGCGAAGCTAGAAAAATCTCAGTAGCAGAGATTGAATAAAATTAAACAGGAAAAAACAGAACGAGAAAAATCACTGTGATCGTGAGGGACTAATCAGGGTAATATTTTTGTAGTGAATGAAGTTTTTAATCAAGTAATAACTTACCTCTTTAGTTCCTTGGGATTATTTATTTAATATAAATGATATTCAACAAACTTGTTCTACCTCATAATTCTTGAGGAAGAAGGTTAGGAACAGGGTGCCTAGTCTTTTTAAAAAGTGCTTAAAGGTGCTTATTTTCGTTTCTTAAAAGTCTTAAAGGTGCTTTTTTCATTGGGTGTTTTTAAAAAGTGCTTAATTTTCCTTTTCTAAAATGAGATTTTACTTTTACTATGTTGATTTTCGCTACGAATTTTTCAGAAAGACTTTGTTCTATTCAACATTTTCACAATTAATTCAACCCCAATCTATTTCGGCGTATCGTCAGTCCGTAGAGTATAAAAACGCCATTCGATTAACATGATTAAAAAATTTTGACAATTGTTGAAAGCAATGCCGAAAATCTTTATTTTGACATGACGGTTGAAATCATATAAAACCATCAATTGTCAAAAACTTTCCAATACCTAATGTGTTACCTAATTGTGTTTTTTTAAGTGCTTAAAAATATTATTTGAGTGCTTGAAAAGTGCTTATTTTTTGTTGAATAATTTGGCTTTGCACCCTGTAGGAATATTTTGTTATAAATTATTTTTTATAATAAAATATATATAAATAAGTTTTTCAAATTGTTTGCCATATACCGGGAAACCAAATGTGGCTTTTTTTTTTATCTGAATCCTTCCTAAAATTAGATTTTTTATGGTTAGAATGTATGCTAAAAACTTTTATCCACAACTTTCAGAATGGACTTTTTATTGTTGTTGTTTTGGAAGGGAATGAAATTAAATTACACAGTTGCAAAAGTTTTATAAATTTAAAAAAATAATAATAATAATTGGGGAATTCTTTCTGTTTAACTGGTAAAATATGCTAAATGAATTTTTGTATTTGTTAATTAGTTTTCAAATAAGCTTGATTTAAATCAGTGGTGATTAATGGAATTTTTCTTTTACATTACGGTTTTAGAGATTGCTGTTTTTTTAAGGGGGCCTATAACCATCGTTCATTCATTTGACAAATGAATTATGCCCAAATACTATCACACAGGCCGGGATAGCCTGATCGGTAGGGCGCTGGGCCGATGTTCGTGGGTTCGATCCCCGCCTGCCGAAGACTCCCCGTGTAGTAAAGTTACAGATGCACGTTAAATTTGTCGAGTCGCTAAGTCCTCCATGTTCCCATAACAAATCAAAACCTCTGGGAGTACTGGATTAGAGATCGATCTTTCTCTGATTCAGGTCAAAATTACGATCTGTGGATGAATGGGTCCGCCTTATAAACAGGTGCGACGTATGATGTGGCGAAGTCGAATTCTTGGCCATAGATGGCGCTACTGAAACACAAGAATCGCACACCTAGCCTTAAATTTGCTCGGTTTCACCAAGCAGGCTTGCCCGTGTGGCAAGTGGCATTAGAACCAATCAACCAAGTAAGAAATACTTTTAAAACTGTTCTGGTTTGTGAATTATTTAAAATTTATAATTTTGTTCATTTAACTTGATAAAAAAAATATTTCAACCAAATTTTAAAAAAATAATGAATTTTGTTATATAGATGGATGCAAAATGGTTTTAAATCACATGATAAGATTTAGGGAGTGGGGACTTCTCTTTTGACTAAGGAATTGGGTCAGTATTTTCGAGCAGGCAAGATATATCAATCAAATCTAATGGAAATTAAACAAGTTATTAAGTTAGCAAATAGTGAAAACCTTTTATTTAAAATATACACGCAAAAAAAATGGATTTTTAAAATCGAGCAAAAATGTGTCAAAATAGCTTTGAAACAAATAATATTTGATTTTGAAAATTCTTTGTATTCATCATTGAGTATAGTGACAGGCAAAATTGAAGCAGCATATTCACCTTTTTGAGCAAAATGATGGGGAGAAAGAAATCTGTGAGAGAGTTGTTCGTTGGCTGCTGGCAGAATTCGAACCAAGGACTTCTGAGTTCATAGTAGGATGCTTTTAAGTATCATAGTTGTTTACCTCAGTCCAGGCAGAATTAGGAAGCTTTATTTAGTGGCTGTCACAATGACCCATCGTGACATAATTCTATTCTCTTAAAGGTTTTAAAAAAGCGGAATAAACAAAACAGGAAATTTAGATTACCAATTTCCAGACTAAGCTTTTGGCACTATATTTTCCAAATTACCCCCCTTTGTTGGAATTGGAAATTAGTGTATCATTGCAGTGGCCTTTGTATAACGCTGATGATTTTTGCGTTTGATGATGATGCATTCTGAACTACAAATGCAGAGGTCCTTGCTTCGAATCCAGCGGGTAGCCAACAAACATCTCTCTTCCGCATTTC